AAGAGTATGATCCAGTATTGTGTTACACGCATTAGTCAGAGCTTGCCTAAGCTTGTGCCGATTTGTAGGGTGGACGGGTAAGCTCTTGATTATGCTAGCGATTTATGCCCACAGGTTTTCTATAGAATCCATGTCAGGGGAATTTCGTCGGCCAAGGCAACTGGTTTACCTCTTGGTTTTGCAGAAAAGCAGTTATTGCATGGGCATGGTGTGGTCGGGCTTTGTCATCTTGCAGGATGAAGTTGTCCTGGAAGTACCTTCTTGCAAATTGCAAGCAAATATTCTCTAAAATGTCCCTGTATTTTGTCTGGTTGAGGTTTCCGTCAATTGCCACCAATAGTGTTTTGGCTCCAGAGTGGAAACCGGCCCGTACACAGATACTGCCACGGCCACAAGTCACTGTAGTGTGACACAATCCTCGTGCAGTAACTCGTCTGGAAACCTACTGACTCTGATTCAGCCATCGCGGTGGTGGAACCCAAACCCTGCCTCATCTGTAAAGATCTACGTGAACCCAGTGCTGGGCCTGGAACCGCAAATGGCGTCTAGCCCACCATGTTGCTCTGTTCATAGAGTTAACCAGCTAAAAGTAGCCTTGCATTCACTAGAGTTCTAGAAACATACTTTTGAATGGTAATTTGCCACTCATCAGCAAGAGTTGTCTTTGTCCGGTTGTTGCGACATAACTGCAAAAGCAAGCGGGCTTCCCTTCTGGTGGTGACTTTAGGACATCGTGACCGTGGTCTCTGTGTTAGTGCACCAGTCTGGGCGTGTTTCTGTAAGACGTTAGAAACTGCTCCCCGGGACACATTCAGCTGTCTGGCAATAGCAGTTTGCTTCTGTCCATTCTGGCATAATACAACAATAGTGTGGCAAGTTGCTGCCGTTAGTTCACATACCGTAAGGTCAGCTAAGAGTCTGCAAAATATCAAACTCTTCCGACTGGACGTTGTCGAAATATAGAGACTTATTAGAACTGCTGCCCTTTTATATGCATTCTGTAACCAGCCAAAGAGGACTGCTCAGAGAAACTGCCAGATATTACGTAAGGCGGGCCCTGCCCCCCCCCCCTTTCGAATTCTGGTCCCCCCTTGAAATAATAATTTTGACTAGCTGAATCATAGTTGTAAACCATACCAAATGGCACTGTTCGCCCTCTTAAATACCAAAATGTTGTGTGGCCCTTCAACAGACACCTGACACGTTGCCAAGTGGGGAGGGGGGGCTTTGCATCTGCAGACTCTGCCTTCAAATAATCCTGGATCCGCCTCTGCTCACCTTATAATTGATGGGCAAGCACTGACAATTTCACTGGGAAAGCCTGACAATGCAGTGACCTTTGGTAATTTGGCTGACACGTACGTAAGAGCAGTTCTGAAGGCAGGTTCTAACTATCAGCAGATTGACTTGTGTTTGACAGATACAGGGAAGAAACAATAAAAGGTGCTACTCGGACACGATTCACAAAGTCAGTGCTACCCATCAGAC